GACCTACTTAGCCTCACCCGAATGGTAGAGGGACGAGTACATAATCTAAATATGTAGTAATTGAAATAAAATTAATCCAATAAAAGATAGAATAATAATTTTTCAAATTAAAATAATTAATTTATATTAATATAAAAATATTAGATGGAGGTGTGGGGGTGGAAGAAATACCACGAAAATACCACTAATTATTGTGAGATACAGGAAGTATATACAGGGGGGAACAAGACACATATCCACACAACTTATGATGTTGTTGACACATGGGGGGAATGGTTTTGTGGAGGTGATGTTTGTATTTGTTTCAAAATGACAGAATGTACAATATTAACATGAACAAAAGTTGTAAATTCCCCTTAAAACACAATTCTACACCTACACGCTAACTCCGCGTCCATAGTTCCTCCTTTCAGTAATCCCAATCTGCTGACTCGCCAGGACAAGTTTAAATATCAACCCCTCACCAACAAACTATCCCGATTTTTGTTTGATCTAAATTTTCCTCCCCCCCGTAAAAGTTACAAAAATACGTAGCCTTAGGGCGAGACAGCCTTGATGTATCCGAGACCGTTTTCCACCCCCCTGCTGTCGAAACCTTATAAAATATAAAAATAAAAGATTTTGGCAAAAATATATAGGGTCGGCTTTGTTTGTTGTGTTTTTTTTTTTTTTTTCAAAATAACTCTAGTTTTATTTTTTGTATGTTTTGTTTTTTTTTGCAGCGGAGGTAGGTTTGATGATGAGGCCCCGATGACGGCAAGAGCGACTATTGGATACAAGTGATGGTGGTTGCTTGGGCCGGCTCGTGCGTGGGGGGCTCCTGTACGCTTAGCTTTATCTTGGCTCGGGCACTCTTTGGACTTTTTTTGCGTTCCGTTTCTACTATATACCAAAACTGCCTTAATATACAATATAATAAACATAATCGCGCACCATCAGTATCGGTAGCGTACAAACACGATGTATGAATTGGAGTCTATAACGCAGTTCTGACGAGCACACTCCGTCGCTCTACTCGATGATCTTTGCGCTACTAGAATGAATACCTCTGATGGCAGAACATGATCGACAGTAGCACACCGACAAAGCGCTGTCCCAGTTCCATATGTTGTGGGTTAGAAATTGGTACATTTCTCTAACCCTAAAGTAATTATGTTCTGACCCAGAAGTTAAGAATGTGTCAGGGCGGCGCAGCTTTTGATGAGCCTAAAACCGTAATTAAATCTTAAAGCTATGACAATATTGAAACGTCAAAGATTTCCTTGAGTGCCCCACTGGTGTACTCGACTTTATTGTGAGGAGGGGTAAACGGACATCAAAAGCATGGCAGGATACCGTCCCGTTGTAGGGGGGGTCATGATTGGCCGTTGGGCGTGTTAGCCCATTTTTGTTAGTTATGATTAGTTACTAAAGTATATGGTATAACCAGCAAACGGCAGCGTTCTGCGACCACCCCACCAAGGCTTTTAAAATGTTAAATCAATGCCTACATGGCTAGGCCTATTAGTGGTTTTGCTAAGAGTCTAGAGATAGCCCATTGCTTGACATTATTGTCTATACTTTCGATGCCTCAAAAAATTTTTGTAGTGTTCGGGTACCGTTCGTATAGAAATCTATTTCGTCTTATATCTACCTGCCACCATTCGGAGGATACATACCATTCATGTTTTAGATGTTTTTGACTTTGCACTGTTGTCCAATTGACTTGTACCCAGGTGTAAGTAAGAGGCTAGTTGAGAGGTTGTGGGCTCGTTGGGTCGGAAGTGTTGTGATTAACTTGGTAGAGGTTATTGTTGACAGATTGTCTATTGTGTACGAATGTGGAGTCGTTAAGTGCTATTTATGAATAATAACTTATGTGACTATGAAAGGACTAAGTGGCCCAGCGTACGCCCCCCCTGACGGTCGCATAGTCTGTATGGGTTGGGTGTTGAATGTGTGGTGTGGATGGGTTATGGTGGTTAATACGTCCGCGAAGCCGACTTATGGAGGGTTCTGTAAGGGGGTGAGCAGGGCATCCTGTCCGTGGTGCTGGGAAGGGAGGGGGATGGGGGTGGGAGGGAGGGGGGAAGGTGGATTTGTGCGACGTGGGCGATGTTGAAGGTCTGCAAAGGGTATTGTCAAGCCTATAAGCTAGTGGCAGGTGGTGTTTATTGTTCGAAATCGCCCAGGGTTGGCAGGCGTGGGAGGTGTTGCAAAGAAAATGTGATCAAGAAAGAAGAGTCTAAAAGATAAACCGAAAAAAAAAAAGACCCGAGAAATCGTCTGTCCCGGTACGGATAGATATTACCAAAAAAAAGCCAACGAAAAAAAAAGAAATTATGAACAACAAAACCGCCAACCTTCCGCGTTGGCACTACGTACGCCCTTCCGCCTACCCGTCCTTTCCCAACCCATCCTACCTCTGTCCGTCCATTCCCCCACTCGCCTGTTTTATTTCGCGGTCGGGTGGCGGTGGGCTGATACCGTCCGTAAAACAGGATATGCAGTGTAGTTCTGCCGCGGGGTTATTAAGGGGGGGGGGGGGGGGGGGGTGGGGGGGGGGGGGGGGGGTTTATTTGAGGGGGGGGGCTGGGTCATGAAATTGGAATCCTGCAAGATAAGATGGTTTTGTGTCCTTCCGGGGTTGCGCTTGGCCCGTGTGTCTTCTGTGAAGAGAACACCAGCCTTTGTTAATGTGGATCATCATTACGTACATGTGCCCATTAGGGTTGCAGATTCAAGTGTATTGTAGTAATATATATCTCTGAGTGGCCCTAACTACATTCATTCAAAAAGACAGCCATGACACCCCTCCGGATTAGTTCTAGAGTACCCGTAAACTCAATATATCTTTAACCTCGTTTAATCTCCCTACATTGTTACCTCCCCTTTCCTACGGTAACCGATTCATCTTTAACCTGACAATTATCATTCTAATATAACTTAGTTCTAGTTACAGGCTCTAGGCATAAGTATTCGTTCTGTTATCATTGATTTGTATGTCGGGTGCCGTCTAAAATGAAGGAGGCTGTCCTTCAGTCACAAAATTGCTGAATCTCCCTGCGGCATCTTAGCCTTACTTTCATCCTTCCGCCCCAATTGTTAAACATTTATACTATCGACAACATCTAAATAAGTCATTACCAATCTCTGTGATCATGATTCTTCTATTGTGGGTGCCCAACGTAATGATTGCCATTGTTGTCATTGTTGTTGTTTTTGTATTAGGGTCGGATCCTGATAGCCAATTCAGGCATGCATGGTAGGTGGTCGCAAAGAAACATGTGGGGGGGGGGGGGGGTCCGTGGAGAGTTGGATGGCATGGTCCTGGGGATGGTGATGTAGTGCGTATGTCATTTTAGCCGTGGGGAATGGTAGTTAATCTTCGGCACTGATGGAGGGGGAGGATGTTCGGGGGACGTAGTGTCGCCAATGGTGTGATGGGGTGGTTGTAAGATGCTTTTTCTGGGGGTGTGGTCGGGTTGACGCACGTGGGGTATTCGTTCATATTGTCTGTTTGCTGGGTGTTTCTTGGGGCTGGGGGTATGTACATTGGGTGTGGGGGCGGTCTCACAGTAGTTAGGTGCGTATTAGCGCATTGGATGGGCCGGCTGTTTCGAAGAATCTGCGTGGTTGGGGCGGCGTTTGTTGGGTATCGGAAGTATTTTCGATCGGGTTCGGGCGTGGCGACGCGATCGCAGTTGGGTGCAGAAGGGGAGGAATGTTGTTGTAGTTTGGAGTTGCTTTATTTGGGAGGTTCATGGATATACCTTTTGTTGTATGGTTGGAAGGGTTCAGGGTTGTTGTTGTTGGGTATGGGATTGTGGGGAGGAGTTTAGGTGGGTCAAGGGCGGTGGGAGTAGGCAGCGCCATAGACGAGACAGTAGAAAGGTCAAGCTCAAATTCAAAGAAACCAGTCGCAGTTTCAAAAAAGAGGCGGGGTGTACTTTTGGTATTGTTGGTGAGTTGGTCGTGGAGTCGTGTTGCGAGGAGGGTTTTTACGGACTTTGTAGCGAATGGGGGTAGTGGAACGGGAGTTTCGATCATCCGGGAAGGGATGTCCACACTGATGATTCTGAATGCGGTTGGTCATGACGAGCGATGGTCGGATGGCGTTGATTTGGGAACGTTTTGGCTTCGTTTTGGTAAAATTCGTTGGCGGTGGCGATCTGATGGAACGTTAGGTTTACTTTTGTTTTTGTTTATTAGGTGGGGCTGTGGGGCTGTTCATTATAGGCGCGCGTGACACGAACGGCATGTTAGTATAGGGAGTCAAGAAGTGCAGTTTGCGCGCTCTGGACAACCAGCAATGATATCATGAGGTGCTTTTGTGTCGTTTCTTTGGTAATGTGTAAGCCTGGCGTGTTTGTTTGCCCGCAACTGACAATCCAATGTATTGTGCGTAAACATCAAAACCTAGTTCTGCATATAAAAGACACAACTGTTCCCTAAATTAATGCGGGTACTGGTTACCTTAAGGTAAAACATTCGATTTGCTCCTGATGAAGCTAGTAGCCAGTTCTCTGGAGTTTTGAATTGATTAAGGGATAGGGCATTGGGCGACCTGATCTTCGATTTTCCAGGGAGCCGCTGTACCCGACCCCCCACTACCCCCCTCTCACGCACATGATCAGAGGGGGAAGTTTACACAGAAGGGCAATGGGGACGGTAAGTATGGGCTTGGGGGTGAGCTTTGCTGCGGCCCCGCTCCTCTTCCAGGGATATGGGTAAGGTGTTATGGGAGCTCGGGGATGGGCGGATACAGCGGGATGAAAGGTCGCTATGCGGTGATATCGGGGGTCCGGTACGGGTGTTTCTAGTTAGGGGGCGACTTGGTGGTGTGGGAAGCGGTGGGTTGCGGGGTTCGCGGGGTGGTCGGGGTTGTATTTTGATTATTTGCTATTTATCGTTGAGGAATCGTAGAAAACAGACCTGCATAATTGGATTCGGATGTGTTAATTTAGCCTTTCCTTTCTCTCCCCGTTCGAAATCTCACATTTCAGCTCGTTGGTGCGCGGGGACGTTATTGTACCTTGGATAGGTTTGCCTTGGGGGGGGGGGCAGGAGTGTGTGGGCCAGATGGCCGAGGTAAGGGAGTTTTGACCAGATCGGGTGGTGCGGCGTGTTCCAAGGTTCTTGGTAACAGCCATTTCCTTTTTGAGAGCAACCATTTCAGTTGCGAGTGCACTGATTTTGTTAAGTGCATCTTTCTAAGGGTCTATAAGATGGACATTGCAGTGGCGCAATTTATTCAGTTTGTCTTCTGGTGCAGGACGTTTGGTCGCCTTATCCGCCTTTGCAGTGCATGCGGCAGAGCTGTGGTCAACAGAAACTGCGGTATTCGAATGAGTACGTCTACGTTTGACCCGGAGTTTGGCTCGGGCAGCTTTACCTTTTATTCCATTGTTGTTAGTCATGACGGAATAGCACGGCTTCATAATTCGTGTTCCAGGAACACTGTTTTGCCGCATATAGGATCTAAAAAGCTTAGAGTACAGCACGTCTAGATATCGAGACAACGCGTCTAATTATTCTAATAAATAGCTGCTATATGGCGGAATAAGCAACAAAAAGTCGAAAACGCACAGTTTCTAACTTCGCGTGGTCAAGGTCAAGGTCGATTTTTCAGGATAAACGGTCGTAATCGATAGCTTCAGACGCCGTATAAAAGTAAGTTGGCTTAGGAAAGCTTCGGAATTAACACTGAAACATTCTAAAACAAGAGTGACCTGGACCTACAAATATCTACACCGCATCCACAAAATATGCATCCATAGTAACTTCAAACTGATCCTTATGGGACTTACGTTTCTCGGTAAAACTAAACAACCTAATCCTTAAATCAGCTAAGCTGCAGCATCTTTACTAAACGGTACATAAACGCATACCTTTCCTTTTGACCATTGGCAAGTCAGCCAATAGCAACAACAACAGTTACAGCACGGTTTGAGGCACCAAGGCAGGCGCAGAGCGAGCAATCTTTGGGTGGTTTTAGCAGTCGGTGCTTGCACCGAGGATAGGCCCACGCAAGACCCACTGCGTGGTCCATTGGAATAAGTGGTAGTTGTGGCAGCACGAAGCGGACGGCTTACCATGCGTTTTCTTAGATGCACTCTGTGTCCTTATACGTTAATACTCGACATTGGTGGTGTACGGGCGGATATCGGTTCACGATATGGTGCAAACCAAGTTGTCTGGTAGAAGTAAGGCGAAGTCAACAAAATTCAGAAAGCAATTTAACCAGGGCGAGACGGTAGGTATGTCCGGACCAAGGCCTTAACACAGACGCAAGCAAACAACGCTAGCAATCCCGTTGTGACGGAAGTCAATGCGGTCTCACAAATAAAACTTACGCTAAAAAACTAGCAGTCCATTTGAACAACGTAAAGGGGTACATTTTGGAGGACCATAGGACTAGAGTTGGTATTATTGTCCATAATTCCTTGCACTGCTGAAATACTTGCCTCCCTTTGTCGCCACCACATGCGGTTTTGACCAGTCGCTCACTATCGTTTGGGTGTAGTTCGAGCAACCGTTTAATGTCAGAATAAAGCTTTTAAGCACCTAAGGATGGGAGCAATATCCAGCAAAGCAAACTGGGTACATTTTGCTCCACCGAAAGCTTTAGTTGTTTTGGTTAACTACTACAGTCTTGCCGGTTCCCCAGGTAGAACAGTTGTGTTACCTATAAGGATAACACTACTCAAGGCTGCTCGAAAGTGACAGAATATAGTGGGGGATGAAATATTCCCTAATTTATTGCATACTGATGCAATTTGTAAGTGTCTACTAGTGTCCCTGCCGCTCTTTTGCTCATGGTACTCTTGCAAAATCATGGCGTGCCCTGGGGCTAGTACTTCCCAGAAGCCACAGTAAACCTTAAAGTAAAGAGCTCACTTAAGGAAATTACAAGAGACGGTTTGTTTAAACTTGTGCTCAGTTGCTGTGATATTTCGGCCCGATGTACCGGAACGGACAATCGTTGACACAAGTCTGTCACAACTCTACGCTAAATAACCGGGTTACCGGACACGTTTTGGGAACTTAGTGGCAATCGGAAGGAAGCAAGCACAATATCCATCCGAAAAGAGAACCGCCGTCACCACTTGCCCAGCTACTTCACGCATTGCAAACCACCGGCTTTTCCTAGACCAGTGCTTTGTACCACAAGCACGAATTTGAGAATAAACTATTTATTTCGGTGTGGCTCTCTCCTATCCCTGCACTCCACGACCGACGGTTTCGTCTTGGTTTAGACTCATCAGGTAGAGATAGCTGAGCTAGGAGTGGAACCCGAGGCATAGTGCTTGGCGGCTATCGCCATGATCACTAGGCCAATGAGCTCCGCGAGCAGTGTTTCACACAGCGGTTAGAAGTTGCTTTTCGAGGTTTTGCTGCACCCGCCATGTGTCTTGGATTGCGACACGCAATCTCATTAGTGGCGGCGGTTGACTTGGAAGTCAGCCTCTGCCAAAACGGTCACTGGGACCGTCACCGAAGTGGAGGGTTTCGGTGTGGCTCTCTCCTATCCCTGCACTCCACGACCGACGGTTTCGTCTTGGTTTAGACTCATCAGGTAGAGATAGCTGAGCTAGGAGTG